CTATCCTTGGACCTATTTATTCTCTATTTATTTAAGATTATTGCATGTTGTAATTTTAATTGATTTTAACCACTTTGTAAACTGCCCAGAGTCCTTTCAACAAGATGGACGGTGACAAATTTGATACATAAATTAAAATATAAATAATTAAAAAATTGTTTCTATTCACTGACTGTACCTCAAAGATAGTATGGCTAGCATGCTGACCTAATAGGAAGGGATAAATAATAATAAGGACACACAGATGGGTTTATCCAAAATATCCCATCGTGAGGCTGTAATTTCCACTCTGTCGGCCCTTTTCTTTGTTCTGCCTTTGCCTTTCTTCTCCTTGCAAGGTAGGAGGCCAAAGGTATATAAGCCCTGGTTCTGCTTTTGCTTATGTCTGCTCAGCAAAGTGTCAAGGCTTTGCTGGGGGTCCAGTATACACTGTATTGTTGATTGCATGCAAATAAATTATGTTGTATCTTCAAAATGATTTGGTTGCTTTAGGTGAGCCAGGTTTTGGTCAGAACACATCCCTCTATCCATCTATCCATCCATCCATCCATGTGACTCCGGGTGGGTGACAGAAATTAAAATACAATAAAAATACAAGGTATATTAAAACAATTAAAAAGAAAAAAAAAACAAGCCGCTGTTCCCAGCTAACACAAAGTGGCTCCCCAACACCCTTTTCACCAATAGAGTGGGCTGTCTTATTCTCCTGGCCCCCATGCCTGTGGAAACAGCCACGTCTTCAAGGCTTTCCTCTAGTATATCAAACCCTAAATAACCCTCTGACAAGAAACACCAGCGCGATCCGAAGGTCAGCTTGCCACGAAGAGGTACAGTGCAAGGCGGGCAGCAGGAGACTTCCAAACGAAGCCGCCCCACGTGCTCGCAGCGTGACTGGAAGAAGACAGAAGGCGCTTAACTGGTGTCTTTGGGAACCAAGCGAGCGCTGTGAGGCGAAGCCCAGGCTCTCGCCAGCAAACGCTCCGGACTCTAGCGGTGCGGAAGGGATCGCCTCGCCTCCTGCTTTCCCGATCCGCTGTTCTTTAACGCCGGTACGTGGCCTGGGTAGCCAAGGCGTCTACCCCGGAATCTCGAACGCTTCGCGGGCAACTAAAATCTAAAGGGCGGAGCCTGTTGTGAGAGGGTGGAGGAGTCAGATTCATCCCGCCCGGAGGCTTTCTTGCGGTCTCCGCCGGAAAAGATGGGTGGTAGGTGGGTTATTGCGCAACAAGTGGGACTGGGGGGAGCGCGTGCGCGTCAGGAAGGGAGCGAAAAGACCCTTGCCGCCTTTTTTTGGTACTGTATTGCCTCCTTCCCTCCTCCTCCTCCGCCTCTTCGCTATGCCTACGCCTACGCCTGGTTCTCCTTCTCTCCCATACAGAATACGGACCCCCAGCAAGGTGGGAGCGCGAACGTGAGAATGCACTGGCCCTTTCCCATTCCTAGTTCATCCCCCCGGTCAGAACAGAAGAGCTTTGCCCCAGATTAGGTGGGGCCTGGATTTCTTGCAGGGAGCATCATCTCCTGCTGCTGCTGCTGCTGCGGCAGAAAGTTCCCCTCCCTTTTCCTTCCTGGGGAAAAACAAAAAAGGAAAATAAACGACCCAACGTACCAAAAAAAAAAAAAAAATCTCCACGAAATCTCGCCTCTGCTCG